ACACGCGGCCCGCGCACGCCGCGCCTCGCCTCCTCCCGGCCCTGCTTCCGCCAGGCCCCGCCCAGCGGGCTCCCCACGCAGAGCCCCCCTCTGCGCACCGAGAGGCGGCCCCCGCACCCGGCCCCTACCCCCGCCAATTGGTCCCGCCCACTCGCAACCGCCCGCCCGGCCCCCAGTCCCGGCGGCCCCGCCCACTCACGGGTCCCTGCGAGGAGCGGATAGCTCCGTAGTGGGGCTTTACTCTCCTGTGGGTGCCTCGAGAAGCTGGTGGGTGTGACTTTGACCAGCGGTTTGGAGAGACCAGCAGGGCTCCTGAGGCAGCGCCTGCAGGGTTGGTTCGATCAGTCGGTGCCCTTGGGAGCTGCACGGCTCCTTAGAGCGAGGTCCTGGCCTCGAGAGCATCGTATGGGCGAATAGAGGAGGTGCTGTGCTAGGATCGGGCTTCTCGCGTGGTCCCAGCGTGGGCGACTTACTCAAAGGAGTCTCTGTAGCCTCAGCTTCCTGGACTGGGTTTGGGGAGTGAACAGGTGATGGTGACCAACACCTGTGGGACAATAAGTCAAGCCTAAGTGCTTCCCCTCTGCGTAGTCGTCATTTGCTTCTGGTGTCTCTGGCATTGTTCTGCACTGCTTGTCACTGAGGACACTTGCCTCCCTAGCTCTGGGCCCTCCTATGGCAGTGGTCTTAGTTTATGTAGTACACATCAATGTCGCTGAGCAAGCACTGGGTCTGAGCTCTGCCCTTGCTCTGTTTGGTACCCAGCAGTTGTAACTGATATGCACATGGGTGGCATCTTCAGTAGAGACAGTTCATTCTTCTCCTGTCTCATGTGCTGGTATTGCATTGTGATAAGTAAGGAGCTCTCCAATCTCACAAAACTGTGGAGGACTACCTGGGCAAATCTTCTTGAAAGAGAGCAATTGTCTCTATATTGGCTGTGCCTGACCCTATTTCTATGTATTGATATGTACAGAGCTGGCTAGGACTTTTTTTCTTATCCCTTCAATGGGCTTTAAGCGATAAATACTGGTCTAGCTGAGGTGCTGCTGGTAGTCTTTGAAGACAGTATTCGTGTTTCCCCAGTTATGCCTACCTGCTGCTCTTTAATGTGAGACAGGACGAAAAGCCAATGCTGCATGCTGTCGCTGTTGGCTGGTTGAGCCTCTAGATAGAGGCCATGACTTCCTGGAGCTTGAAAGATTATACATCAGAGCTGAAGCATGGAACCCCAAAACATTAGATACTATCTCAGTTGTGTAGTGCAAATTACTCTGCATATCCTTCTCTGCATATTGCAGAGATAAATACAGGTCTCCTATCTAGCCCAGCTCACAGTACTCACCTACTTCCTGCCATTCTCAGTCACTTGTCCTCAAGCTACTCCTCCTTCATGTCTGAATAAAACCTGGGTCCAGCCTTGGGTTCAGGCCTTTGTTCTGGATAGCCATTACCATGACTGGACTTAGGACCCCTTGGCTCCCCATAACTATAAATATGCTTTAGTGTCTTTATTCTTATGCGCCATGGGTTGCACTAGAAGTGATAGATTGGAATTAACTTGATGAGATTCCAATATTTTATCCATGGAATTATAAATATAAATATCCTGGACTGAGAGGAGGACCAGAAAGGGCTCTCTACAAAAAACCAGCAACTAGTCCTAGACTAATTTAGAATACTGTGGGAGTGTGCTCCCCAAGGTTACCTGATCTCTACCACCTTGTACACCCCTTGATGGGAACCTCCAGGGCTAAATCCTGAATGGTAAAAGTGGACTGAACTCACCAGAAAAAGATACAATACAATAAACACAAGAAGGTACAAAATGGCTCAAAACATTGGATGAGATATCCTAGAAGCTGCACCTATGATATTTCCGACACGAAAGACTGCTTTACAATTCAATCATGCAAACAGAAAAGAGGTATCTATAGGAGATTTTTGGGGTATACTAGTAAGTACATAGTGGGAATCATCTCAACTTGGGAGTTGGGAAAATATCCCCCCATCTCATTTTGTCAACAGTTAAACTGCAACCCAGGATGTAAGCCAGAAACAGATCAGACGATGAGCAGCCCTGGAATAGAAGCTCCGGGCATGCACTCTGCAAGCAAAAAGGCAGATGGGACCCAGAGCAGACTGTGGTCCTGTAAGCCAAACCTGGTGTCCACAACCCTGCCCACTGCCCACCCACGAGGACATTCACTGGTGGTGTCAGTAGAAGGGACACTGGAAAAAAAGTCTGTCCTTTGTTACAAAAGAAAAGACAAAGCAAGAGAAAGACCCTTGAGCCTAGCTAGTGAATTGAGTGCTCAAACATTGCCTCATAACGCGCAGGGGAACCCACTGTGGGTATAAGTGCTGTGCTAGTTTCCTGGGGTTGCTGTCACTAATTGCCACATGCTGGGTGTTGCAAAACTACAGAAAGGTAGTCCTCTCAGCTCTGGAAGCTGGTGACCCAAATCAAGGTGTCGGCCTGACCTGGCTCCCTCGGAAGAAGCTGAGAAGGAGCTCCTGGACTCTCATAATTTCTGGTGGTCATATTTAGATGCCAATAGAATATTCACCACTGACAGGACAAAAAAATACAAAGGAAAGATCATTTTGTATTTACATAGACCAAATAGGATAAATTTACAGCTACTTTCGCTTAACTCAATGAGAAGAAAGAGGTGTACTAACAATGTTTGGACAGAATATCCTGTCTGCTTCTTGTACTATGGTTAACCACTAAGAAGATAACAATGTACAGTGTATTGACTATCAAAACTGTCCTATTAATCAGCTATGAAACTGTCTCATTCATATTTATTTCTCAATAAAAGATAAATATAAAAAATAATTTCTGGTGGTCACCATCACACCTTGGCATTTCTGGGCATATGGCTACATCATCCAAACTTTGCTTCTGTCTTGCAATATGTCCTGCCCCCATCTTTTTTTTTTTCTTCAGTTATAGGGTTTGAATTCAGGACCTCTTGAATGCTGTCACCACAGAGTTGCATCCCAAGCTCCACATATCCCCATAACTTTAAGTGGCCCAGTTACTGGATTCAGCCCCTGACCCATGTCTGGGATGACCTCATGCTAACTTGACACATCTATAAAGACCCTGTTTCCAGGGTCTTTATAGATGTCAAATCTATAAATGTCAAATCCACTGGCCCATGGGTGGGAACTTGAACATAAGTAAGTGTTGCCAATAGCCCATGGGTGTTCAGTGTTCCCACAAGCACTTCCAAGCTTTGATTCTTTGCCCCTTTAAACACTTTTTTTCTGCTCTGTGACATAATCCCTGATAATTTAGGGAGAGATTTACTTTAACCCTAATATCCAATGCTAGCCAGAGCCTTTGGGATTACTTACGAGGTGGCAGAAGATCTCTCTATGGGCATGTAGGTGGCAACTGCTCCAGTGAGTTCCTAATTCTTCATTCATGGGCTTCAGATACAGAGGAGTCTGACATTGTACTTGACGCACTGTGGACCCAAAATTCCACTGATATGGGAAAAATAATTGGAGTTGAGCTAGATCTACCAAACCAGAACGCAGAACCCCCCACCCATCCCTTGAAGCTAAGCCAGGGAAAGAACCAAACCTACACTTCAAAGCTGATATCCCATGATCTTCTGAGCCTGCATTAGCATTCCCGACACCCACCCTGCCAGGAGAAAGCCATTCACATGGGAGAATCCATTGGTTGCAGACTGCAGAGCCATCTGCAGAGTTGCTATCCTTTATGTCCTTATGGAAAGGGTAGAATCAGGTGCCCTACTTACTCTTCCTTGCCTTTGACCTGGACACAAAGTTAGGGCAAAAGTTCCATGAAAAGATTTGTGGATGTTTCTCCTGACGAGGTAATCCCCCACTTAACCTCCAGATTCCTCATACAGTGAAGACCTTGTTAGTGACCAACTGGTTAGCACATTCATCAGCCCACTAACCTCTGAGGATGTCCTGATGTGCCCTCCCTCTCACATATCCAACACCACTGCACCACAGACTGGCCATACTGACTCTGGCTACCCTGACCTTGTAGTGTCTGTTGAAGAAGCACATCTCAACAGTAAAGCAGGACATTTTCAAGCAGGATGTACTATCACTAACTTTAATTCTTCTTTAGAAAGCAGTCTCCTACTTGTGATAAACTCATTGCAAGTGACTAATGTCACTTGGGGTCACTGGCCAACTCACCAAAGCCAGACAGCAAATACCCATAGATAGGAAACATGCTTCCAAGTAGAACATGACCAGGAATGCTGGATTCTCTACTGAACAAAACAACATATTAAGCCACTTTTGATGCCTTCTGCCTCACTAAAGATGACTCTCAAAGTTAGAGAGGTAGAGGAATATGCAAAAGGGATAGTACTGAACCTAAAGGGAGCTCTAGCAGGTCATCATGCAAGCCTCAACCCTGGTTATGTTCTCATCTAGACCTTCAAAAAACTACTGTCTAGTAATTAGGCCATCATAAAATACAAATTGTTTAGTACCTGACTCTGAAAGGGAAGAAGAGGGAAAACTGTACCCTTCATTCAGATACTCAGGTGCCCCCAAGATGGTGGTGTGGGGCTGGGGAGATGGCTTGGCGGTTCAATCCCAGGTACCACATGCTATGCCAGCCCTGCAACCCCAGGCACGCTGACCCAGTGATTGAATCCAGGTGTGGTGGTGCATGCCTATAATCCCAGTGCTGGGGAGGCTGAGACAGGAGGATCACTATGAGTCCAAGCTGTGCATTGAGACCCTGTACCAAATAAGTAAATAAGTAAAAGATTAAAAAAAAAATTTTTAAAGAGGGTGGTTTGGTGGCACCACATGGATCTTACCTAAATTTCTCCATGCAACTACCTTTAAAGCACTATTGACTATTTTGAATCAACACAGAAGAGATGCATTAAGGAGCAGCTGAGGTCATTTTGGGTCATGTGTCACACCTGTCAACATTTCCTGAAAATACTGTCAAGATGGAACATGGCCAGGAGCCCAGGCTTCAGGGTTCTTTGACACACTCAGGGCACAGTGTCTGCTCTCCACTGTGACAGCAGTGAGTCCTGGTCCAGCCTGAGCTCTTCATGTGTCTCCTCTGAACGGTTCCTTTGTGGTCAGGATGCCTGTGCTCAGGTAACATCTTAGGTGCTTTAGGAGCATCACTCCAAAATTTGTCTGCACAGAGAACCTCATTCTGTAAGTCACCAGGGCTAAAGGTTCTAACTCGTGTGTGCTCCGAACATAAGCCACCTATCTCACTGTGTTTTGTGTACCTGTAACAGAACCATCTGAGCAATGCGAAATGAAGGTCATTTATTTTTGGTGGGGAAAGCGCAGTAGTAGAGCTCAGCAGCCACAGCCCCTGGATTCCATGAGTAACACCCAGAACCTGCTAGTTCTGGAGGCTCAGAAGCACAAGACAAGGCATGGCACCCAGTGAAGCCTCCATGGTGTCACCATATGGCAAAGGGGGAAGGCGCAGCACTCAGTCTTATAACAGCACAGCCCACCACGAGGGAGGGGTCCCCATGGCTTTATCCCTCCACAATAACAATGGACTACCAGCGTAGGTTTGGGAAGAGACAAACTTCAAACCTGGAAAGGAAGACTGCAGACCCATCTGTGGGAACCACATGGTGGGGACCATGTCAAGAACCCTGGCCAAACCACAGTGATGCCACCTCCCTCTCTCTTGTTATTTGTGCATTGGTGGCTTTTGCTAAGGCTGCACCTGGGTTAGGGAACAGGAAAGGCAGAATGAGCTTCACAGCACTGGCCAAGGCCACTGGCTCTCAGGTGTCCTCCTGCCTAGTGGGATTTGGTTTTGCTGCAGGATGATCAGCTGCGTCCTTGGTTCAAGCACTTGTTATTGTTTATTCTTGTCACACTGGTCAAGATGCCGTCCCACTTTTTCCTGCCATTGTCAAGCCATTGCCACGATGATGTAACAGAAAACACAAAATCCTCCTAGTATAGCCAGCTGGATGCCCCAAACTGTGGAGATCTGGGTCTCTTACTAGCTTGTATTGGTCAAGGAAGCAGGATCAAGACCCAGAGGGGAGACAGAGAATATTCTTCACAAGCAGGCCATGCAATGGGAGGACTCATATGACCCACGCAGTGACTGCCCCAGACCCTGTACTTTCAGTCTCCCATGACAAGTGGCTCAGAATGGTTAGAACTCAGACAATAACTGCCAACTTCTCTATTTTTTGCCATTTACAACTGAAGAGCCAACCAGAGAAAACAAGGTATGTTCTTCTAACAAGAAGCCAAGGTGCTCTGCTGCCACCCAGCAGCCAGCAGCTCTTAGGCTAGCCACCTCCAATCTCTGCAGACCCAAAGCCTCCCTCACACCCCTGTATTCCCCTGATAAAGTGTTTCCACTCCTCTGTCTGCCTTGGAGTCTTTGCCAGGAAATGACAGGTAAGGCTGGATGACTCCATAACTGTACAAAGCCAGGATGAAGGGCTTCTTCTCTCATTCGAGTGGTGTTGGTCTCATTTTATACAATGGAAAATTAGATAGCAGCCCTTATCTGTGATTTTGCTTTCCATGTTACATGTACCCAAGGTGTGAAATTAAATGAAAACCAGAAATACAACTCCATGTCTTAACCTGTGTGTCCCTGAGTAGCACAAGATGTCCCTGAGACCACACACAAACCGTGCCCTGTCCACTGCCTGCTGGCTTATCATTATATGGTGGCCATCCTGGCCGTCAGAACAGACAGCTTGCCCTGTCTGTTTTCCAACACCCATTGACATCTTGGGTATCTCTTTGGCAGATAAGAGGCAACTGGGGCCGGGGAGATGGCTCAGTAGAATAAGCTCTTGCCTGGAAAGAGCAAGGACCTGAGTTCAATCCCTGGTTCCACAAAAAAAAAAAAAAAAAAAAAAAAAAAAAAAACAACAACAACAAAAAAAAAAGAGGTGACTTCTGGCTAGGTAACTGGACATCTGTTACAAAGCACAATTTCCTGTGATGACACTTCCTTCACCTCCTCCAGTGAATCTGGTGAAGAGTCAGAATTCTTCCACCATCCAAGTCACTTTTTTTTTTTTTTTTGAAACAGGGTTTCACTATGCAGTACAGGCTGATCTCTACAGTAATCCTCCTGCCTCAGCCTCCCAAGTGCTGAGATTAAGGTCATTCTTATTCTTAAAAACTTCCGTAATGCACTTTGCCTTCCATACTCTGATGAAGTCCCCAAAGCCTTGATGTGCACCTTTCCCCTAAGGTTCTGAGGATTTCAGCCTCCTAGGTCCTGTGGCCACAGCTGGCAGGAAAGTGCTCAAGTCTTACCATCTCTCAGAAGAGAGGTATAGGCACAGAAGTCACGGAGGGCCTAGTTGGGAGGAGGCTGTAGGCCAGGTGCTAGTGCTGGCCCTGAAGTCCTCCAGCCAAGGCCTGGTTTCCTGAAGCCTCATGTGCCTTCTTCACTGGGACTAGAACCCAGGTCCAAGACCACTGAGACCCCCAAGGCCCATTCCTCCACTGGGCGTGTGGATGGGGACTGGCACACTGGCAGGTACTGTTTATGCTGCTGACAAAGATAAACAAAATGCTCGAACACCTGAGCTGGACTTCATATTTTCCTTGAAGAAGCTGACATTTTGTATGGTAAATATCATCTATATATGAAATGTCAAAATTCTCTTTTTCTCCAAAACAATGACAATTAATCCTTAGCTTTAGAATGTACTTTCCTTACCTTACTTGCTGGCATCGTTTCCAAATGGAACTATAGTGTCATCCGGAACGATACAATCTGTGGTCTCTTCCACACTACCTGGCCTGTTCCCAACCCCCACGCTGCCACCCCTGGGGTAGGGGACTGAGCTGAGCTGAGCACATCCTTGCCACTCAGCATGATGCTCAAAAGCATGAGCAGAGACAAGCCACAATCTCCCTGGGGTGTCCATGGAGTCTATGTGGTGAGCCATGGGGTGAAGCTGGCCCTTTCAGGGTCCAATGGCCACTGGGGCCTCACGAAGGACACAGTCAGTGCCTGAGTTGAACCACTGGCTCTGGGTCCTTGTGATCTAGACTAAGATGATCTTTCTGATTTCTTTTTTGCTTTGTTTAATTTATATATCTGGTACAGGGTCTCACTGCACAGCTCAAACTCGTAGTGATCCTCCTGTTTTCAGCCATCCCAGTGCTGGGATTATAGGAATGAGCCATCATGTCCAGACTTGGTGTCCTGCTCAGCATGCCCCAGGCAGGAGTGGCACAGCATGTAATGCTGGGGGTCCTTGCACTTGCCTAAGTAGGTGCTTAGTCTGCTGAGCTATCTTGTCTGCCCTGAGATAATTCCTCTAGTAGGTCCCAGTTGCCTTTACAAAGTTCCTACGAAATTTTAGCCAAGGGTGCTGCCTGCCAAGGAGAGGGCAGAGGCAACTTTGTGTGGGCATGGCCATAGAGGCTGAGCGTGTGGACAGGCCAGGCCTGTAGCATGTGCCCTCAAACCCTGCTCATGGCCAGAGGTGGACAGGCTGAAGCCCTCCTGCATCAGCCTTCAAACGTGCCGAGTGCCTGAAGGAATGCAGGGAGCCTCACTCCCTGCTCCACAGCTCAGGGGAGAGTGCTTTCTTTTTGTGTGTGGAAATGACAGTTTCTCTTGTGTATTTCTTTTCATGGACTTATCTAAATGAGCAAGCCTCATGTGTCAAGGGTTAGGAAACAAAAGAACAAGAAATACACATGAGTACTCCTCACAGGCTGTCACTGTTTTTTTTTCCTTCTGTGTACTGGGAACCCAACTCAGGATCTTGCACTTGCCAGGCAAGCACTATGCCACTGAGTTCTCTCCAGCTGAGTAGCAGAATTGTAAGTATATTATACTGAGTTTGCTTATCCTTTTGGAGACTTAACTTTCTTCTTTTTTGTTTTCTTTCTTTGTCCAGGGATTGAACTCCAGTGGCTCATGTGCCACTGAGCTATCGCCCTGGCCTTGACTGTTCTTGAAAAGGGGCTGACAAGATTTCACTTTTCTCAGCCAGGGTCTCTTGCCCCTCCAAGGTGAAGGCTATAGCAGGCTCAGCAGTCAGTATGGAGGCCTGGAAGGTCTACGACATGTCAGAGGACAAAGGCCACCCACAGCCACTCTCTTATATCCAGCCTCTGTGCCTCAGACTGGAGCAGGACACTGTGGACGGACACAGGCACTGAGGGCTGAGCCATGCCCTGTGGCTGAGGCGCGCAGAGCCTGGGCACACCTGTGTGCAGGAAGTAACAGGGCACAGCGTGTACGGGGCAGGTGTTTTCTGGTGACAACTTGCCTTTGTCAACTGCACTGATTGCTCCTGGTAGGGCTTGGAAAAGAGCCCTGGGGTCTGGTGCTGCGTGCTCAGCACCACCCTCCTATCAGGCTGCACCCCCGACCATGTGGGCATCAGTAACAGAGTGGTTCTACTTCACACTCCTAATGCACTCCAGCTTCAAGTACTCAGCTCAAATGACAGAGGACCTCCAGGGTCTGCGCTCAGGGTGGCCCATTCGGCTCGGGAGGCAGCATGGAGCAAAGAGTGGGCACGTGGCCACCATGCTGGGTCACGTCAAGTGTGAGCCTCATCCTTGATAACTCTCAGTCCCCAGGTGCCCTCTGTGATGGATTCTTGTGGACACGATAACTCTTGTGTGGAAATGTCAAAATTACAGATCTGATATTGCCAACTGGGAAGCTAAAAAAATAAGTTTGCACATTTTATGATATATGATTTTATTTACACAACTGAAATTACTGCCTTAGTCACCTTGACTACAAGAACAAATTAACATGGCATAGTTTAATAACCTTTCTTAATGGATTTCACACATTTAATAGCTGACAGATTGCTACTTAACACTCGGCAACACTTAATACTTAGCAATGCCTGCATATATGTGAGTGAACATTTTCTGACAGGATTACTCGGCATGGGTTCTTTTGTAACTCAGCTGGCCGGGTTACTAGGCAAGTGTTAATTCCCCAACCCTGGCTGAGTGTTTGGACCCAGAGGTCTCAAGCCATGAGAAGAAACCAGCTATAAAATTCATACGTATTGGGTGGGCACTTAAATAACTATCTTTAGTTCTGCATTTAATAAAACTATCATGAAACTCATCTGAAAATCAAGACTTTGCCATGACTATAGCAATGCAAAATTTATCACAGTGTATCTGGAAAGTGGCCCCAACTAAAGCCGTGTCACACATCCCTGTGAGCATGTCTGGCTCTCTCTGGATGTGTGTATATGCTTCTACACACACCTACCACAGGGCTGTCACACTCCCATTCAGGCCTTCCTGCCACACAGCAGCCATCACTCGCTGCTTGTGAAGTGCCCACCAGGTGCAGTGTTTATGGAGACCACCTGAAGTCCCTCACAGTGCTGATATCTGATAACCAGGCAGTGTTCTGGTGGTGCAACGCCTTCCTGCTGCATGACTGCTCTGGACTCCTGTAGTCACCCCCACGGCTGCAGGGGTGCAGGGTGTGTCCCCACCAGAGTGCACAGTGACAAGAAACTTACGTCTGAATCTTGGTCAGAATCGAGGAAACCAAAAGATCTTGCTGTCTGCCAGCCGGAAGAGCTGCACTGAGGCTTCCCCAGGCAGAGCTGCAGTGTGGTGCAGTGGTCTGTGGCACTGTCAACATCACTTGTAACATGACTAGCAGATCGGTCCCTTCAGAAGAGAGCACTAGGGGACCTACTAACACACACGCAGCCCCACCTGGTCTGAGTGCTGAGGCCTGTGCTGCTCTCCTCAGGGCACGTGGCAGGGCAGTGGTGGTGTGATGGAGCACCTAGGCCGCCGTGTTCTGTGCTGTGGTGGTAGGGTCATAGTCCTCTCACACGGCCACTTGAGGCCTGCACCTGTCCGTGATCTCCTCCCCAAGGTTGCTGGGCACACAGCAAGGGCAGCATCAGATTTCCATTGTGCTAGATCTAAGAATCGCTTTAATAATGGAGAAGCAAAGTGTCTTCCTAACAAAAGGCTATATGATTTTAAAAACCATTCCTAGCATTTCAAATTTGGAGCTGAGGCCTGTCCTGGTACCCCCTTCCCCTCCTGCTTCAGGGTGGAGGTGGGGTTTGCTGTCACCACTCAGGCCCCACTGGCTTCTTTTGAGTAAGGCCAGTCTACTCTGGTCAGGGTTTTCCTACTGCCCGTGTGTGTGTGTGTGTGTGTGTGTGTGTGTGTGTGTGCTTCACGGTTTCACCTTGTTGCACTGTTTCAGTGGCAACTAGGAAAATCAGACAGTTCAGATACAATATCTTGTACAAGGTAGCAAGTGGCAGGCCCACACGGGACTGGGAGCACATGGTAGTCACCAGTGGCCATGGACAAGAGGGGCTGCCTGGTGCGAAAGCGCAAGGATAACTTAGCGCCAAGACTCAGCACTCACCCAGCGGCCACATCTGCTAGGAGGGACATCACCACCAGCCATCAGGGAAGAAACCACTTTGGAAACCAGTTACAACCAATTACTAGGAACGAGTCTGCCACCTGGGTGTGGCCTGGCCAGGGTGACAGGCACAGCAAGGACCGGTAGACTGTCCATTCTTGGCACGTTCTTCCCCTCCTGAGTCCACGCTCATGCACACAGAAATGTTAACTATTAAACGTGTCCGTTAACTTCGCCGCTGCGGGCGAAACCATCCAGTTAGCATATACACTATCATTTGCATATCTCGGAAACCCAGTGTTAGTGCCATCGGCTCTCGGGAGTGGTACAGGACTCTCTCCAGGCCAGCTCGGGTCTGACATGCCTAAAAATGAAAACACATCATTTGTTCTGCACCGAAGGACCCACATGTCAGGTGCAGACAGTGAGGCCTTGGCAAAACTCCCTTTGATATTCAAGCCAAATTTGTGCTTTCAGTGCTAATTACACTCATGGCTTTACATTCCTGGTTTCCAAAACACTACCCTGTTGGGGCAAAGATCATGTGCTCTTAGTAAAATGGAATTTAGCAGACACTAACACTAACAATTTTGACCTTTCAGGGGTTCAGACTCTCAAATCTGCTCTGTTTGCTGAACTGCTTAACTGTCTTCCTCCGGGAGTGTGAGGCACCGGCACAAGGCTGTACAACAAAGCTTGCTGTGGTGGGAACATCCTAGAAAATGAGCCTGTTTTTCCATCTGTTGGCCACCACGGTGAGGAGCATCCCCGTGTGAGTACACAGCACCCACAGCCTTGTTGGCACACACCCGGCCCAACGTCAGTGGGGACTGTGAGCTCAGGGTAGTGGAAGGAGCATCCTGGCTTAAGAAATGCCTGGATCTGAAGTGCTTAGTGATGAAATTAGGAAGCAGGAAAAATTTCAAGTATTTAATGCAAGACAAAAGAAGGAGTTTTGGCAAGAACCTTATTTACTGTCCATTGCAAGGCCACAGCACCACAGACTATGTTCTTTCAAAAAGCATCGGCTCCAGCATTTAGCACTGGCTTCATAAGTGACAACCACGGGGAAGGATGTGAAAACAGCATGTCTGTGTGTCTGGCAGAGCCATCCGGCACTGCCTCACTACACCAGCGGGGCTGGGGCCCGGGTGACCTCTGCAAAGTGGCCCCACTGCATCTAGTGCACACAGAGTCCGACCCTCCCTTCTGATTTAAATCGCCCCCATCAGGCAAATTTACCCAAATAACAAAACTGGAAATACTGAGTCTTGGATCACTCCTGAAATGACATGTTCATCACTTCTACAATGTCCCCTGAGAATTCAGCCCTGATGGTTTCTGCTGTTTTTGTTTTTGTTTTTTTTTTTTAAGTTGCTGGGCAATGTGGTAATGACGCTTATTTTCACATCCTTTTGGAAAGACATAGTCAAAAGAAAAAAAAAAGGCCCACATATAAACTGGATGCAAAGTCAGACATTTACAAAGAAAAGGGTTCAGCGTAGACTTTGGTTTTGTTCAGGTCAGAGACACTTTTAGAAAGCATTACAGATAGTAAAGACAGTGCAGAGGGTAACACTGCTAGAACCGAGTAAAGGCATGGGAGATTCTACCATAGAGTTTGTTTTCAATCCATGTGGAGGGGAGGGCACGAGGGAGGGGGGCACTGCTGCAGTCCACCAGCGGCGTCTCCTCCTCTGAGAGGCCGTCGTCATACAGCAGCGAGTCTGACGGGGTAGACGCTGCAAGGTCCAGGTAGTCCTGGAAGACAGGGATGGCCAGTCACCCCCAGCTCATGATGTCCTTAGACAAGGGTTCTGGATGTGTCCCCACCTCGTAGGACTGGCAGAGCCTCTCTCCAGGGTGGCTCTAGCTCTGCTGACACCTGAGTGTCATTTGTTTCTTCTGTCCCCCTTTGGGTCTCCAGGGCCTGTGGGACAGCCAGGGATGCCTGCCTTGCAGGGAAGGGCTGGTGACTGCCTATGCCAGACACTGGCATGGAACAGCTCATTTGACACTCATCACTTGTGGAAGTGACCTGTGTCAAGCACAAGATGCAGTCTCCCCCTTGGCCCTCCCCCTGGAGCTCATGTCAGGGCTTAGAAATGGAAACTACCCCACTGATACTGGCTGTGCTCAGGATAATGCCACAGGTGCCAGCTCCCAGCATGACTGTCACATGTGCATGTGTGTGTACATACATGTGTATATGTGCGCACACATGCACAAAGGGCTGGCACAGGTCATGCTGTTCCTTGGCATTGTCCCCGGAGCTGGCTCTTGGAGTCAGGACAGCCCAATTCACAGCACTCAAGGTTCCACCCCAGCACTGACCGTGCTATAATGCTCTGCTGCACGGGCTTCACCAAATACCCATTTTACGTTTGTAAAGGATGCCCCTACTAAGCATACCAACAGGAGCCAGACTTCTATATGAGGCTGTGAGGGCTTGGCTGGTTCACTGCATTCCTGGCATCCAGTACTTAATAGTTCCTCAAGAAGTATCAGCCCAAGGCGAGCCGATGTGCTCGCTCCCTCAGTCGTGAAGACGTGTGCAGGCCAACTGATGCCTCCACATAGGCTTTGCTTGGCTCACACTGGGCTTTTGAAAGCTTTTAAGTGAGTTAGCAGAACTGGGAGACTTGACACATGCCTCTTGAAATCAGGGTGATCTGGCACCTGGGATGGTACCTGGCCACAGATGGTGACAGCCTGGGGCTTGTGGAAGGATTAGAACCATAGCCCCCCATCCTCTCAGCCCTGCTGCACCCACTGAGAGAGCTTCAACCCTGTGAGAGATCTTCTAGGATCAAGAGAGGAACTGTGGTTGCTCTGTGATTTGAGGAGCAGGTCAGGTCCCCTCCTGACACCGACTGTCTGACCTGGGGGCAGCATACCCTCCCCCTGCCTCCCGGGCCCTCTACCGCAGCCCAGGAACTGTAGCACCTAGGGGAAGGCCGGGACTCACTCTGCTCTTGACCATCATCTTCTCCAAGTCTTTGCTGATGTCAGCAAACACAGGCCTCTTGTCTGGCTCCTGCTTCCAGCACTGCAACATGAGTCGGTACCTGGGGGTGGGGGAGGCATGGTGGTAAGGATCTGTACTGAAGCTCTGCTGCTTTGCTAGTCTTGTTAGGATATGGGACATGGCCTCATTCCAAACCCAGAGGCTCCCCTGCCCTCCAGGTTTACCTTCCCTTTCCTTAAGAACATCGTAAACAGTGGATCCAATATTGCTCAAGGGTGGTGGCTGAGCAGAAGTGCCAGACTGAGCTTTCAGGTGTGGGTGGCCGAACCTCCAACTGACATGTTCCTAGTTTCTGCAGGAGCCCAGGCACGGCCAATGGACAGGGATCCAGAGCATACTAAGGTGTGTGATGCTGGTTGGGCACCATGTCCCAAGCAGGGCACAGACTGTGGCACCAGTTCCTGCCTCTGGACAGCTCCTCCTTGTCTGTTTTTACACTGGAACCATCTAGAACCTTCTGGAACCACCTTTAGCTTTTTGAACCCATATGGGACCACCTGGCTGAATTGCTTGATAGAAAATAGGATGCCTCTGGTGTTCTCAGGCTGAGTATTCTCCATCGCCTGCCTGTGTGTCTTATGGGCTCTTAGGCTCACTGCCCCATAGCTTGTTGTTGTCCCAGCATCTGTCACCATGTAATGGGCTCTCTGCTGTTACTTTGCATTTCCTGAGGTGGCAGCCCAGCACTGCTTGGGTAGGAACTGGCTTGCTGTATCCCTTCCATGGGATGTCCAATGTGAGGGGCAGAGGTGGGTGGGGTGGCTGTGTCCCCTCTCATGGGAGGCCCAATGAGTGCGGCAGAGCATAGCTGATGAAGCAAACCAGCTCACATCTCTTCGCTGCAGTTGTCTGGCCTGTCCATGCGGTGGCCCGTCTTTAGGAGGTTGAACAGTCGCTCAGGAGGAATCCCAGGGTATGGGTTACCCCCGAGGGTCACGATCTCCCACAGTAGGACCCCGAAGGACCACCTGCAGTGACCAAGAGGACAATGAGTGTCTCTACCTACCACAGCCCAGTGCCCACCCCACAGCTGCCAGGCTTGCCAGCCCCTAGTACCAAGAATGGACTGCTGGCTGTCAGCTGGGTCTTGATAGCCCTCCTGTCTTCTTGTTCCCTGGTTTCCCTGTCCTCATGGCTAGCACTTTTCTGGCCAAACTATACAGAGGGCATTGCAGCCTCCACCTCCCCATCTGGACAGCCATAGCCACACTTACACGTCACTCTGTGTGGTATAAATGTGGTCGAAGAGGGACTCGATCGCCATCCACTTGACAGGAATCCGGCCCTGTAGGGGGCACTCGTGTGACTTGTAGTCCCAGTCAGGGCCAGCCACAAGGCCCGGAGCCTCAGCCAGAGCTACAACTGCAGGGAGCTACTGAAATGCTGGTGGGGAGCTGCCTACTGCCACACTGGTCCCAGAGGATCTGGGGCTGTAGTTTTGCAGGCCACAACCACCTCTTTAAAGCCTCCAGAGACATGGACTTAAGGCCACAGCATTTATTGCAGTTCCCCATTCCCAAAAGCATTCTCTGAGACCCTGTGTTCACATCCACTCCTTCTGGGGGGCACAGGAGGAGGCTGTCTGTGAGGCTGCAGGCCCCTTCCTGCCCTGTATCATGGGAAGGTGCCATCACACACCCTGTCAGGCCCATCAGCAGTCCCCCACTCTCCCCTCAGTGGTTCTGAGATCTCTGTTGCCATGGAAACTCTAGAAAAAGCAAACAGGGCCCTCAAAACCAGCAGCAGTGGCTTCTGCTCCTCATAGCACAGCTGAGCTGAGAAATTGTGTCCAGGGCTACTCCTTCCCTGTGGGGTCAGCCCATGACCCCTGGTCACAAACTCACCCCACCTGGACCATTGCTAGGCTTTGGGACAGTGGCAGATACTGACAAAACTAAGGTGGTTGCCTGGGGGAAAGACAGTATTAGGACTCCAAAGATCCTGAGCTACAGCCCCATACCAAGCCTTTTCCAAGGCCTGAAGTAGCCTTGTAAAGTGACAGTGATAGCAAGCCAAGCATCCTCCTGAAGGCCTCAGGAAGGAAGGCCAGGACATGGAAGAGCAGGGATGCAGGAACAACAGGAAGAGGGTCCCTGCAGACCCAAGGTGGAGACAGATCAGGGCTGGCAGTTTCAAAGAGTTCAGTGCCCTGAAAGTTGCTGCATCTGCCCAGAGGACCTGAGGGTACCATCGCTGCTGTGACCCCTTTTGGGGCACTCTGTACAGAATACCTTGCTCCTTTTCACGTAGGAGTCTTCCTCATACACGTCGCGGGACAGCCCAAAGTCTGAGATCTTCATCTTCCGCCCTTCGGCCACCAGGATGTTCCTGGCTGCCAGGTCCCGGTGCACGAGCTGTGGGGAAGGACAGTGGGACCCTCAGGTGACCAGTGGGTGGGCTGGGCAGGGCGGGGGCGAGATGAGGAGAGCTGGGCAGACAGCCCACGCCTACCTTCATCTCAGCCAGATACTGCATACCCCTGGAGATCTGCCATGCGAAGGAGATGAGGTCACCCATGGTCAGCGCCCGCTCATCTGGGTGATCCAGGGCACCAGAGTTGCGGCTACCTCCACTGCCCACATAGCCGGGCCCCACCTTGCGGCTGTCCCGGAGGAAACCTCTCAGGGACCCATACTTGGCATACTCCACGATGAGGAGGAGTGGTCCTGGAGGCGGGAATGTGGGCATAAGGCCACATGGCAGGTGGGGCAGCAGTCACCTAAGTGAGCACAGGACCCTGACACAGCCCTGCTGGGGTGGCTCTGAGGAATGCAAAACCTGGAACCCCCACAGCCATCCCCAAGGGCACCAGCCCCCTCCAGGGAACAATGGCCACCAATCCTTTCAATGTCCTCATCTACTACTGCAGGACTCTGAGGGTCAGTGGAGGTGGGAAGGCCTGAGTGGTCCCGGTGCTGGGCTGGTGCTGCCCTGTCCCTGCACGGATGCACACATTTACGCACACACACACATGCTCAAAAGCCTTGAGCAGCACTGAGGGTTTGAAATGAAGATGTATGAGGTGTTCTCCTTGTTCTCAGCTGAAAAACAGTGACAGTGTCCTGCTGTGCAGGTCTGCATCAGGTCACCTGGAGGCCACATACACCCAGGATCTGCAAGTCCTTGGAGCTCAGCTAAAAACTGGAACCCCCTAGAGACCCATGAGCACCACAGGCACGAACCCTAGCGGTACAGGGGTGGAGCCATCGGCCTGCTCACCATCCTGGCTGCAGGCCCCGTACAACCTGATAACATGCGGGTGGTTGACCTGCTTCAGGAGGTTGAACTCAGACATCAGGTCACGAAGCTCGCTCTGGGATGCATTCTCTGCAAGACATGTGGACAGCAGGCTGCACCCCAGGTCCCTGCCACTGTGCTGGGCTGGCACAGCATCTCTCTCAGGGCACAGGGACCAGGATCTCCTGAGGGCCTCACAGTATCCCACAGCACTGGAGCAGGAGGTGGAGGAGGGGCCCGGGATATATCTGAAGTATCCTTCTGTGGAGCCCCCTCCTTATCCTTGTGACAAGGACTCTAGGCCACATGCCAGCTGCTCTGTCCTGCATTTGCAAGGCTGGAGCCTGGCTATGGGGGAGGGCCAATGCCCACATGGTCACTGGAAAGTCTAAGGGGCTTCCTGGTAGGAGCTTCTCACAGGACCCCATGGGGGGGGCAACTGTCACAAAAAGACGCAGTACTCGTAGTGCAGGATACTACACGTTCTGTTGCCTCTCCAGGGGCATGGCTGCCCTGTCCACATACCTTTCAGCATCTTCACAGCCACCGTGGTGTAGCCAGCTCTGCCCTTCAAGCGGAAGGCTGTGGCCTTTACCACCTTCCCAAACTCGCCCTCTCCCAGCGTCTTCCCAAGAACCAAGTCCTTGCGTGGGAATTCCCACTTTGGGTCCTCCTGTGTGGGTTAGAGGGACGGAGGAGAGAGAAGTACAGTGAGTACAGAGGCATAACCACGGCGGAGTCCAAGGACAAGTCCTGAGCGAGGAGTGGCTGCCTGGCTGGGAATCCTCACCTGGATCTTGACGGTGTCCACAGAAACCTGGTTCTCCATGGAGTCCAGCGAGGGCCGGCGGGCCCCTGCTGAGGAGTAGCTGACCGGGAAGGTCTGGGAAGGCCTGCAGAAGGTCATCTCTGCAGACGCGATAGGCGGTTTATGTGTGTGCTTGTGATAGCGGTAGATGCAGAAGGAGGACAGCAGCACCGAGACGATGAAGGAGAAGAACACAGCCACCACGATCACTATGCGGCACAGGTCGTCACACAGCGGGCCTGTGTGGGTGGACACAGCGAGGCCCTGTGAGCCCAAGGCACCCACCAGTGGACCTGCCCCACCTTAGGCTACTTTCTCCTAAGCACCGTGGGGACGGAGAGCTTGGGCAGCCTGCCCAGGTCACACAGCTGGGCAATACCCTCTGCAGATGACAGGGACCCAAAGGTGACAGCTGGACAGGGACAGGATGGGGGCTCAAGAAGGGACAGGTGCCAGATGAAGAGCTTTGTACTGCCTCAGCTGTTATCAAAGAACACAGGGCAGAAGATGGCAGAGGCCGCTGTGCCTCTGCTGGGCTGCACCCATGGGAACACTGAGGCTTGGCAAGGTACAGACTTGAAATCTGCTGTCCTTGTCCTAGCAGCTACACCCTCACCCTGGCTGTCCTCAGGCTCGCAGAAGCACTTTCTTTCCTCTGGGAAGCAGCTGCAGGTGCCATAGCCAGCTCTGATCCCCCGGCGCTCCCCTGGCTCATGGCCGCCAACGATGCTGCCCCCTGAGGATAGATGTGATGATTACCCAGGGTAGCCTTAAGCTGAGTTCATGGACATGAGGGCTTCTCCCACCTAGACCTTGTTTGCAGGCTCAGTCAGGAGCTGCTTACCTGGGCAGGGCGCTTACCGCCATGCCCCCAGGCCAACTCCCTGGTTGTGTAGGGGAGGAACCCAGATTGCCCAGGGTCGCTGCAGAGCCCCCAGAAAGCACCCCTGGGTGTCTCAGGAGCAAAGCAGGGGTAGGGTAGCCCATAGGGAGCAGAAGAATGCAGTGCTGCAGGTGAGGTTAGGCACTAGGGCCACCATGTTGGGGACGGAACCCTTGTCTAGGTGAGAGGTAGGAGCCTGCTCATCTTCATGACTAGTCCTGGCTCCTCCTGTGACACTTAGTTCTGTGGCCATGCCAGGGATGAAACCCAGATCTGCACAAGGCACCAGCTGCACTGCCATGCCCAGCCTGCTCCCTACATATGGATCTGGCCACTGTCCCGCCAGCCCCACCATCCTCAGCTTACGTAGGCAGTCCTGGGGGCAGATGTGGGGGTCCTGGTTCTCCACAACATCACAGTGGCCATCGGGGCAGGTCTTGGTGCTGGGGGAGCAGGTGGAGAAGTTTCTGGAGATCCCTGCAGTGTGACATAGCCATCACCACATGGATGCTGCCACAGAGACACCCCACGGCCTCTCAGACCCAGCCATGTGCTTCAAGCAAGGGAAACTGAGGCCCCACAAGAGAAATCTTATAGTACTCCTGGCCACCATTGAAGGCGCATAGGGTCCCCAGTGGACAACAATGGTGACAGGCTCACTGCAGTGAAGTGACAGTGGGAGCCACTGTCCCACACATCTACCCTTGACTCTGATCTGCCCCATAGGCAGTGCATCAGCCTGGGCTCCTCTGGTCCCAGTGGAAGAGCCACGGTGGGTACCCAATGACTGGCATGCTGCAATCAGGCAGGCTGAGTGTAGGATCCATGTTTGGTGCCACCCTCCCCAGAAGCACCCCGCCCCTGGCTTGGCCCACCTTTGCCGTCACCCTGCCGCCACTCGCACCGGCCGGACAGGGCCCCCAGGCCACCGCACTCCTCGCACTCGGAACGCCTCTTACTGACTGCACAGGACAGGGGGCAGCCCACTGCCTCGGCCACATCTGTAGAGCAGACAAGCCAGGGTCATAGAGGTCATGCTATTCCCAAGTTGTACTTGGTGACCCACAATACCATGGTGGCATGGGGGCACCAGGGTCACAGGTGGGGGACACTCCTTGGAGAAGAAGGAAAGACATCCTCTGCAGATGACAGGAACCTGAAGGCGACAGCAGGACAGGGACAGAATAGGGCTCAGGAAGGGACAGGTGTCAGGAAGAGTTCTGTACTGCCTCAGCTGTCATCAAAGAACATGGGGCAGAAGATGGGTTGATGATAGCTGGCTTGACGTCATACCACACTGGGGGCACTTCAGTTGAAGATGGACGAAAGCTCTGTGAATGCCTGTCCCTAACACAAATAGAATGCCCTAAACTTTGGACTGTGTCTCTCACGTGCAGAGTGGCACAGAAGCTCTGCATTTTGATCCTGGGACTGTCATGTGTGCATCCTGAGAGGTCCAGGGTGGGACCAAGGCTAAATGGGAAGTCTGCAGTGGCTCGCAGCACATCTGTCCTGGAGCCCCAAGCCCACCTGTTGCTCCTGGAAGTCTCAGGGCACTGTATTCTGTGACCTGACACCAAACTGAACGTGGGATTTTCTACCTACACCAGGTCAGCACTGAAAATGTCCTGATTCTGAAGCATCTTGGATTTAGGATTGAGGGATACTCAGCTTGCTCCAAGCCAACTGCATACTGATCATGCAGAACTCAGATTTAAGCAGGGTTCTGAGTCTTATGCAGCAGTTGCAAGGTGAGTGCACTGACCAGGTGACAAGAATGTTCCCCACACAGCCATACTGTCCCCATCAGCTTCCTGCCAGGCTTTGAGGAGGCACTGTGATTCAGGCACAGGGAGGAGGCTCAGGCACAGGGAGAAACTGGGGGTGACTCCCCCAGCCTGGACTCACATGTCCTCTCCACAGTGACCATCAGCATGGCCTGGGCCTGAATGTGGGTCTCCAGGTCGGTGGCCACCACCGTGTACTGCAGCTCATCACACTCGGGCCGCCGTAGAGCCTCTGTGTCATTCACGAACAGGGTCCCTGAGGTATCCTTGGCCGAACTGAGCACCCCCAAGGCGCTGCAGTTGGCGCTGGATGGCTGAAGCTTGTACTGGACATGGATACCGCTGAGCTCCTGGCAGTGCTCCACACAGACCTTGCCGACCTGGGGGCACAGGGTGGCTCAGCAGTTGTGACTGGCCTCAGATTGTCCCTTGCATGGCCAAGTCCCTGAGTCATCACTATCTCTGTTCCCAGGAGCCAGAGGTGTAGGCAACACCCTGTCCTGCTGCCTGCCAGCTGTACAACTAATGCAGCACAGACTCCTGGCCCCCACAAGACCAAGGACCCTCACAGCTACAACAGCCAGAGCCAAGAACTCCAGATGGGGTAAGGGTGGGGCAGGTGCTGCCCATGAGCCAGAGCCAGCCCTGAGAGTGCCCCACCCAGGCCCCATGCAGAGCCAAGCACCCCTTCTCCATGGGAGGGGTAAGGAGCCAGAGGCTGAGGCTGGAGGGAGAGTAGAACAGTGGGTGGCCCTCCACCCATGGCCTCTCTGCTCCTAGCACTCTCTGCTTGTCACTCAATACCTGATACTGCTATGCATGCCCAACTTTTCAGACATATCCCTTGTGTGGTAGGGATGGGTATCTCTGGGCTGGTGCCAGGACCAACAGAGAGAACTGCCAAATCACTGGGATGAGAGGAGCCAGGCTTGATGTGACATTCTGTAGAGGATGTGCTACTCCCTGAGAGGCCATGCACATAGACAGGGGCTCTTGGCTCAAAAAGTGCTTAGGAAACAGTGCTCATTTGGCTGTGGGTGTGGAAGGGGCACTCTTCCCCCTCCTCACCTTTAACAAGTCCTTATGGCTTTATCTGTCCACATCTGATTGTTTTCCAGCATAAACATATGCACGCCATAAGCTCTGGCAGATACCCAGGCTGAGTAGAAGCTAGGCATCCATCTTCCCCCAGAGGGCACCATTGCTTACTGTACGACACACATTTGGAGACTGAGTGAGGTTTGGTCTGCAGAGGCCCAGCCTGAAATCTTTTCTGCAAACACCTTCCCATTCCACAAATTTTCCAGGGGCATGTTTCCAAGTGAGGGTGCACAGGTTCACCTGCTAGTACTCTTATATTAGGGCAAAATATGATGTAAAGACACCAAGGAGGAAGAGGAAATAAACAGGGCTCAAGGAGCCCCAAGCTGCACCTCAACGAGGTCCCCCAGCCTGCATCTACGGCCCAGCTGACTACTTGGGTATCACCCAACCACCTGCCTGCCACCTGTTCCTGTGCCCTTACCTGGGCGTAACGGTGGGCCTGCCTGCTTACAGAGAAGGTATAGGTGCTGGGCAGGCGTAGGTGGACAGGCAGCACTGACACGTTGAAGTGGAGGAGGAGGATGCCTGAGCCTGGGCCCTGGAAGGTGGAGTCATTGACCAGCACATCCAGCTGCAGTGTTCGGCTCTCTGAGATGGGCAGGCTCTGGTTAAGAACCAGCTCTGTGGGTGGGGACAGGACAGTGACAACCAGGCTTGGAGCACAACATGACACCTCTTCCCAGGCATACCCTGTGAACATGTACTTTCACATTCAGAGCCCAGACAACAGACCAAAGTCAGCCCTAAGAATCAACGTTGGATGCTGGCTGCCCAGCTGAACACACGTCCCAAGAGCCTGTCTCAATGAGGGCAGCCTTTGTGTGCATAAAAGTGTGTGAAAGGTATGTGCTGTGAGGAGGGTCTGCATGGTATGTGTACACACAGTGTGCATAGATCTGGGTACAGACAGACCTATGAGGTGTAAACAGGATGGGTGTGGTATGTTTGCATGCAGTATGATACCTATATGTGGTGTGCAGGTGTACACAGGCCTATAATATGTGTGGTACAATACGTGTCAGTGCACATAGGGGAGTGTATGATATGGAGTGTGGTGTATGCACAGTATCTAGACAGGAGCCTGCTGGATACACATGTGTTGTGGTATGTGCAGGGCATACATGAGTGTGCAGTGTGCATATGTGGCGTGTGAGGTGTGTACGCAGGAGTTTACAGTCCACACAGTAGCATGTGGTGTGCACATGCCATAATGTGTGGGGTGTTCACACGTGGTGTGTATAGTCACAGGCAGGCAGACGAGCCCCCTTACTAAAGTCGTGCACAGTGGCACGCACGGTGCCGCCGTCCTCAGCCACCACACGGGTCTCGTTGGGTGCATGCTCCAGGCGGAAATGCTGATGGGCCCAGGGATCCCCGGGCAGCAGGGTGCCGGTGTAGCGTCGGACTAGCTCTGCTGAGGCCGGTACCACATCTGCGTCAAACACCCGTAGCATAGCCACTACAGTGCCCTGTGAGAGGCGGAAGGGCTATTAGAGGACCCAGGACAACCCCAACAGCCGTGTTCCCAACTTGCTGCCAGGGTCCACTGCTCCCTTCCAAAAGGAGGCCCCGCCCACAGCTCACCAGAGACACCCCCCGCAAGTCCCCTAACCCTTTCCAGCCCACCAGGGCCCCGCTTATCAGATACCACCCCCCACAGTCCACATAGGCCCCGCTCACCTCCAGCCCACCAGAGAGCTCCGCCCCACAAACCCACTAGGGGGCACTAGCCCCTCTCCGCAGGTTCCTGCAAGCAGAGGTTCCTCTTGTTTGCCGCCAGCCACTTCTGTGGCTGGCTGCCTGCCGCCTCTGTCGCTGGCGCTCCCTCCATGGCCCGGGGGTGGGACAAGGAGCAGCTAACGGTGGCGGCGCACTCATACCTCCTTGCGCCTGAAGGCCACCTCCGCGTTGGCTGTGTCTGAGGCTCCCGCTACTACGCTGGGCGCCGAGTCGTCCTCGTCGTACACAGTGATCGGGAAGGGCTCCCGCACCACCTCCTCCTCACGTGCGCCGGACCTCACCGTGCACACAGCCACCAGGTCAAAACGCTCCTGGCGCTCACGGTCCAGGGTGCGGCGCGTGCTCACTTCCAAGCTGTCCGGGGCGCAGCGAAAGGGACCACTGTCACCACCTCCTGAGGCAGAAACAAGCCAGGTTGACCGTAGGGCCTCTCTATGAGCAGGGCTAAAGATGTTTACGTTATGAGGGCAGCCTTTGCCTGTCTTGGAAAGCACCACAAGTAAAACCACCACCCTGCCCTTGATCAGAATAAGTGGTGGCTCTCTCTGCCCTGTGGAGATTTCACCGATGCTGTCACCAGGCTGGCGAGTGTGGCTCTGGTGTGGCCCTAGGTCCCCAGCTGAGTGGCCTCCATGACCATCACCACCTGTCCCATACCAGCCCTCCCCAGGCCCAGTTTCCACAGCGGGTGGCTGTCTATCCCGTGTGCTCAGGAGCAACCTTGGAACAATGATCAGTACCCACAGCCAGAAGAGGAAGAAATCAAATCCCCTGGTCCCCTGCCTGCTGGCTTCCAGGCTCACACAGTCACACTGGCTCCGGGGTCTCCTTGCTTCCATCTACACCTGCAACCCCATACCATGCCCAAGGCTGGAGCCTAGCTGGCCCTTTTCAAGTTACGTCAACCTCCCATGACTCCCTTGCCCCTCAGGTTGCCCTCTCAAGCCTGGGGACGAGCTGCTCACCAGCCTCAGCCCCATTGCCTGTTCTAATTCCTATTTGCCCTGGGGCCTGCGCCTTGCCTACCTGGCTGAGTCAGTGTCTCCACTTGTCCACCCCATCCTTTCCTGTCCTTTAGAAGCCACTGGCCCTGGGGATGGGAGGACAGCTGCCTGTGACCTTCCCAGGCACTGCCTTCAGGTCAGGATAGCATGTGGTCAGCACAGGCCCAGCAGTGACCAGCCACTTACCTTGCAGAAGCTTGTAGACCACGCTGATGTTGGGGCACAAGAAGTGCACGGGCAGCAGACGGAACTGGTGGAAGGTGCCAGGTGGCCTGTTCTCTCGGATTCGGAAGGATAGCCCATTTTCTGGGAAGCAGATCTCCCGGGATGAAAGGGAGCTGCAGGCCGGGAAGGAGGCGTTGATGAAGGAGAAGTATACTCGGGCACACCCTGGCCAGTGGCACTCGCCCTCACGCAGGGGTGGGGATGACAGGAAGACATGGAGGAAGATGGTCAGCAGGGGAAAGCCACCGTCTGTGGGGAGAGAAGAGTCAGGCTGGGTGCAGGCCTTACTTATCCAGTGGACATGGGGCACGGAACAGATAGGGGTCCAAGGTTCATATTCATCAGCGATTGCTTCCATCTCCCAGCTCCATGTAGGGCCCTAAGGTTGTAGCACCTAGCCTTCCATGCCCACCTGCTGTCACTGGCACTGGCCTCATGGTGTCCCCATCTCCTATGGTGGCAGGTCCCCAAGGTAGGCTCCTACAGACAGCCCATTGCTATGGGTCTTTGACTGGGACTCACCAAAGACAGACATCCCCAGACCCTGGAGGGCATTTCCATGGCACTCCTACCATGGTACCACGTGGCAAGGAAGCTGGGGTCCAGCAGAATAGGGCGCTCTGGGGCACTGGCTGCTCTCATCTGCTCACTCTGCTTGTCCCTAACCTGACCTTCTCCATCTAACCCCAGCTGTGGTCAGTCATTCCTCACACAAACCCCAGGCTCCTTCCCTAATGGTGTCCAGCAGTGTGTGGACATAGCCAGTTCCGGCCTCCCAGGAAGTGCAGACCCTGCGAGGCCCAGGAAGAGCCTGGCCACAAGCAGGCATACCTAGAATCTAGTCACATCCTCTAAGACCTGGATGGCTACTTATCTGGCCTTCCCCTGCCCAGTGACCCCAACTGGACCAGGGCTGTGGCTGGTGTGAGCCTGAGGCACTTGATCCATTTTCCCTCAGAGTGGGTTTCATGAGGCTGAGACTCTGGTTCTGGCCAGGTCTCCCAGGCTACCTTCCTTCTAGGACCCCTTGGCCAGGACCAAGTGCTTGCCTGTGGGAGGGAGGAGCTCTCTGGGACTGACACCACTCCAGCAAGCTTTGGTGCTGGCTGAATCAAGCCCTGAGGCTTTTCCAGTTCCAGGTAGCTCTTACAACTTCCAAACCCTCAGTGCTTCCTGGAACGTACCCAGGTTCTGCTGTAGTGAGCACCTAGACCCCTGAAGGTTCCATCACCACTAGACATGGGCACCAATGCCATCTTTGCTCTCTACCCCCACCTCCCTAATGGGAGCATGGTGCCCTTGCAGCCTCTGCCAGGGCTGTACAGGCTGAAGCAGTGCTGGTTGTTCTTACTTCGCAGGCTGAGCTGCTCCCAGGAGCCGAGGTCCAGGCTGCGGTTGAGGTAGAGAAGGCCAGTTTCCTCCACACGGATCCAGTCATTTCTGTGCAGCGGCTTGTGGTAGACACCATAGAGGTGCTGGCCCAGGTGAAAGCTGGGCACCTCCCCGGGTGCGTCACGCAGGGCGTGCACATAGAGCAGCGGTGTGCCAGCTGGCTGGTCCAAGTACAGCCGCTCCCAGTAGGCATCCCTTGGGAAGTACAGGCCCAGAGGGGCTGCAGGAGTCAGGGGCCAAGAGAGAAAGGCAGGGACAAGAAAGCCATCAGCCTAAATTTCTGCTCTTGATGGGATTCTTTATCTCTGGTACAAGGAACAGAAACAAAGGAACACACGTACACAAGGCTGAAAATACTTTTCATTACAACAGAGAGGAGAAGGAGAAGGCAGAAATAAGACATGTAGCAGAATCACCATCAGCCACCCTGGAGCACCTACACCCCAGAGTCCATGCTAGCTTCTGAGCAAATCACTGTAGTATGTAAGGGCATATGACACCACCAGACAAGCAGGACAGGGGGTGCTAGGCAGCAACAAAGGCAGCCCTGGGAAAGAGACTGACTGACCCTTACCCAAACCCACTGCTACCTAGGACCCAGGGGTTCCACACCATTCAGTGGCAACACACCTACATGAGACTTTGATCATATGCAGGATTATTTGCAGTGGCCTCCATGACCATGAAACCCCACACAGTGAGAAAGGATGTGCTCTTGCAACACGAGGCCTCACAGACACCACACAAACCGAAGTCATGGCAGGAGGCCACATGCCATGGCTTCCAGAGTGAACCCTATGTGCAATCAGATAGCTGCTGAGGGGGCAAGTAGCCTGGGAACAGCAGGAAGGCGTCCTGAGAATGCCAGTGCAGGCACAGGTTATGGTAGTATCTACACACTGACATGGCACAGCTGAGACCCGGGTCTCCACCTACAAAAGTCCTGCCTAAAAGACTGGAAAATCAACGTTAGGCTGAGGGCAGATATGGGAGGACTCGGGATGCTGGCCATGCCTGGCCTGGTCCCACCTGGAGCTCACTGCCTATGTTGTGGCTGCGCATGCCCAGACTTTAAAAATGAAAAGCATTCTCTGGACAGTGAGTGTGTGAGCCCTGTGTACTGCTGGAGGGGGGACGCAGAGTGTGAAACTTCATGGAGGATGGTGGCTCCTCAAAACATCACACGCCAACTCATGCATGACCCAGCCGTTACCAGCCCAGCCCGAGTCCAGACTCAGACCTCCAAGCTGGGTACCGAGGGCCCTGCACAAGCACTCATAGCAGCACTGCTCACCACAGCCCGAGGGGGAAGCCCTCAGGTGTCCATCACAAGAGTAGTGAGCCCTCAGAAGAAAAGGAAGTTGTGCCGAGTGACACAAGCCAGTCTCAAAGGGTCCAACCCTGCACCTCACTTCTATGAGATAGCGGAAATGGTCACATCTAGAGACAGAGAGATGGACAGTGGCAGTTGGGGGTTGGGGGTGGGCTTGGGGATCGTCACTTCATGGGCAGAAGCTCAAGTGGGTGGATGGAAAGTTCTGGGGGTGGGCAGTGTTGATGGTAGCAACGCCCACCGTGGGTGTTCTTCTTTTCTTTTTCTCTTGTTTTGGTTTTTGGAAAAAGGGTCTTGTTGTGTGGTCCAAGCTGGGATCAAACTCACAATGATCCTCTTGCCTCGGCCTCCTAAGTGCTGGGATTACAGGCTTGTGCCCCAGGCCGGGCAGCACTGTGGAGGTTAACAGTTCTGAACCAACACAGTTGAAAATGATTAAGAAAGTTCACTTTATGTGGACTTTTGAATAAAAAAATAGTAAAGATATTTTAAAAATATGGGTAAATAGGAAAAAAAAACATTTGCAACACATTTTAAAGCTTGAAATGATTCTGTAATGCACAGAAAGCACTGACACACAAAGCAGGCCCTGAACCCTGTGCTTAAGGCCAAGTGACTGTTCTGTCCTGGGTGGCCCTTCTTGGGCACCAGCTAGGGCGTGGTCCCTGGGGCTCAGACAAAGTCCAGGGCCAAGTGGGCCCAGCAGGCAAAGGACAGATCCCCAGTGGGAATCAGAAGGCATTGTACACCCTGGACTATTCCCCAAGGTGGGCACAAAGACAGCTCAGAGGCTGAGCAGGGCCCCTCGGTGACTAAGTGACACCCTGTTCCCAAATAAAAAGGGCTGGGAGATGGCTGCATGCACAGGCCCTGGACTGGATCCTGGGAAGAAAGAAAAAGGCCAACATCTGCCTGTTCTAGTGGTGCCTGGCCCAGGTTGGGATAAAAGCACTGAGTCAGAGCCTGGGATGCAGCGAAGGTCATCCCTGGAGACACCTAGGTCTCTGTGGTCCTGCCCAGGCCATGGAGGCTGCAGGGGACCTGGGGAGCCAGGCTGAGCCCTGCCACCAGGGGGCATCCAGGCCACAATGTGGAGCAGGAGGGGACCCCAGGAGCCACATATTGGGGTGCTACTGGAGGAAGAGCCAAGACCCATCCAACCTCACTAGAGAGCCCATCAGGAGCCACCTCCCTTCCACTGACCCAGGGGCCAGAGCCTCCACAGTGGCACCGAGCTGACTTCTGCCAGTCCAGCCACCGGAAGGGCAGCTCTGTCCCATCCTAGCTCTCGGGAGCTGCCCAGTGCACCCCACCCTTTGCGTGGGGACTCCACCAAGGCTCTAAGATGCTTCGTGCCTTCAGAGGTAGGGGCTGGAGTGGGCAGCTCACAGGGCTGCCTGTGACAATTACTGTTCCACATACTGCCTGTGACAAGTCACAGGGTATGTAGACACAGCAGGAAAGGACATGAAGGCCCCACAACTTGAGATCCCCCTACTTCCCAGCTCCCCCTTACCCTAGCCTGGTGAAGGCAGGATGGGGTCTTCTGCTGCCTGGAGGACCGTGGGGCAGGAGACAATGAGACTAGAGTCCAAATGCACTTAAGATGCCTCCAGGAGGCACACAGAAGACACCCCCTCCTGTAATGCTGTCACTGAAAACAGGGCTGAAGACAGGTGGGCACAGGCAATGCTGGTGCGTGATGAGCTGCCCACAGGGCTCCCACTGGGCTGGGGGCTCTGCTGCATTTCTGCAAGTCCTGCCCACAATCGAAGCAGCCAACTGCAGCAAGAAAACAAAATGAACCACTAGCAAGGGACCCCACATGGAAGGGGGCCCCCACAGAGCACTGGCCCACTCTGGGCCTCAGTTTCTCTAACTGAGGTGCTCTGGGGTCAGGGGCAGCAGCCAGGCCCTCGCCTCTTACTAGACACGGGCCCCTCATTGCCTATTCCCAGGCCTCCCTGTGGGAATGTGGGCAGGGCAGGTGTTGTGTTCCCAGGGCAGCTCACACTGCAGGCTCTGGGGCCTCATTGTGATCACTCTCCCCATGCTCCTGCCCACCTTGGGGCCCAGCATGACTCCTGCTAGGCTGCAGATCAGGTGGCTGAATATCCCAGAGGACTCCACACTGCCTGCCACATGCCTAGCCTTGTCTACGGGCAGCCCCAGCCCTCGCTGCTTAGACCATGCTTACAGACCACCAAGCCAAGTTTGATCCGAGAAACTTAGGACTTGTCACAGGCAGAAAGGGACATGAAGGCCTCACAACTCGAGATCCCCCTACTTCCCAGTTCCCCCTTACCCTAGCCTGGTGAGACCTCTGCATTCCACATTGCCCAGGTGTGGGTTTACTGGCATCTGGGTTCAGATTCAATCAGTCTTGGGCCCCCTTCCTTCATGCACACACAGGGCACACACGCGCCTTGCCGTATACCTGGCCACCTGTGTTTGTATGCACACAAGTCATGCACATGCAAGCCTTGCCAGATACCCCTGCCCACGTGCGCTTGTGCATGGGATCACTCTGTGCAGGCCAGAACCACACCTGCCTGTGTTTCCAGCAGACTGTGGTTCAGTGCAGGCACACAAGGGGCACAGGTATAGGGATCCGGAGGCATGGGTATGGGGACCCAGGGGCCAGATGCGGGACACCAGAGGTGCAAACTGGTACACCCAGCATACCCTACTCCAGCCATGTGCCCAAAGCATGTTGTGATGCTTAAACCTTGCTGTCTATTTGATTGGTCTGAGAGCCACCCCCAAGCTTAGTAAAGCCACTTCTGGGTGTGTCTGTGTGTCATGTTGGTATGGCCTTGGGGTCTGGTCCTTGCTTCCTCTTTAGTGCTGCCTACTGCTCTGATTTCCTGATGCTATGAGCTGAGAAGCTTTTTTCTCTACCACACCCTTCTGCCACAATGTTGGAGCCAGCTGACCATGGACTGAATCCTTAGAAACCATGAGCCAAACTGTGCCTCTCCTCCTCTAAGCTGTGGTGTTAGGTTTTGTGTCCCGACAGCAGAAAAATGACCCCCACGCACTGTCCTTTGGTACCTGTGTGACCCCTGCCTGAGCCCAGCCATCAGTTGACCATGACGTTAAGCAGGGTCTGCTGTGTCAGCTGCAGTTCTGGCTGGCCCAGCCTCAGGCTCCCCAGTGAGCTCTGCTCCAGCAAGGGTACCCCTTGCCCATGCCCTACCTGGGCTGGTCCACACTCATGGCTGCTGTCACCTGGGTCCAGGAGCTCTTGGGATATGCTCCTTCCTGTGACCATGTGGGTCTGACTCACCTCACGCGTGTTCTCTCACACATAGAGCACCATATGCTACCCCTCACCTTGGGCCTGGGCAGAGCACATACACGCTCACCATATCAGTCCCCTCATAGCCTACTCACTCACTGTCCACGAGTGCTGCCCACTGTTGCCCACCAGCACACACATCCTCCCACAGGCTCAGCATGGACCCGCTGTGAGCCCTCCCTAGGCACTGGGTTCTGCTGCAGTCCCAGGCTGGCTGTAGGATCACTCACAAGACCACATACCCAGCCCCTGGAACAGGCACCTGTGGGGTGAAGGAGGCCCCTCTCTGACAGGCTAAGCAATGTGGGAGTGGGATGAACATGTTCAGGGTGATGTTTACCTTAAAATCAAAAGAAATGAAATATAACAAGGAATGTAACAGGACAAAAGTAGCCTGGGTTCTATTTTGTCTTATACCAATACAGCAACAATATATTGTTATTGTCAAAGGTCTCACTGTAATGCCCAGACTGGCATCAAACTCCCAGGTTCAAGTGATTCTCCTGTGTCAGCTTCCCAAGGGCTAGGACTATATGGAGCCTGCAGTCTCAGGGAAGGCAGGGACTGTCTAGGGCTTTTGGAGAAG